GAGCCAGTTCTTAGCATGATGTATTAAAACAAGATGGCGCTTTTGACATATATTAAATGATATATTTAGTTGAAGATTTGTTTGTTTGCTGTTAAGCACAAAGCAGCACAATCGGATATCTGCTTTCTATTTATCATAAGGATCAAACCCTGAATTTTAGCGCTATAAACACTCATACTTACCACCACTGGAGGTCACTACTGTAGGTCGCCTGGTTATTTGATATACACGAGAAGATAAACTTTAGTGTAGAAAAAAATATTAGGACTAACCGGGAGTTTGAAAAAAAAGAAGAATTAACAAATCTACATTTTAAATAATGTTAAAAAATACTGTAAACTTGATTTTGAAAGAAATACAGATGCCATTAAATGTATTGTTAATCAAACGCAAGACAAGATTAAATGTTTCAGATTTTCAAACGTACTATTATACTGCCTAACAAACCATTCAATAATTTCATCATACATATTGCAGAAATTAAAATGTCACGTGGGCAACAGTAACGTGCTGTATAAATAAACCCCGTAAACTCTGACATGTATTTTTCTTTTTATCTAAGAAAGAACTTTCAAATAAATCATCATATGTTTAGCTTTTTAGCCGCGGCATAGCGACTCATAGAATGGCTCCGAATTTTTTTTCAAGTACAAACTTTTAGCTCATAGTTCCGTCATCTCTTGACCGATTTGTGATCTAATTACAGTTTTGGACTCAGGATTGGTGTATTTAACCACGCCCAAGGTCTCATACATTAATTTACTCTAATATGTCTAAAAGAAATTCAAGTGCCACAGCAATTGAGGATTCCTTCTTGCCTTCTTCTCGAAATGAGATGATATAAGACCCATTTGCGTGAAGTTATGTGAATATAATAGTGGCATGATATTAATCTTAGCGTTATTAACTATAAGGTTTCAGGCCTTTTAAAACAAACTAAGGAACTGACATGCTCGGGTATATATATTTGTATTTGTGTATTTTGTTTTATATACCTAGAGATTATGTACGGTAAGTCCAACGGAAATATGGCTCACTGCCGGTTGCCTACACATGAAAGTTTGTTTGTTTTGCTACACGAGGGCTATCTGCGCCAGCCGTCCCTAATTTAGCAGTATAAGACTAGAGGGAAGGCAGCTAGTCATCCCCACCCACCGCCAACTATTGGGCTACTCTTTTACCAACGAATAGTGGGATTGACCGTCACAATATAACGCCCCCACGGCTGAAAGGGCGAGCATGTTTAGTAGGACGGGGATTGGGACTCGCGACCTGCAAATTGCGGGTCGAGCTCCCTTACCAGGCACATAAAAGATATACTTCGAACATACATTTTCTTAATTGACTTAGGAGTTTTTGGAGTTGAGACTTGTTATTACAAGACAAATAAAAAATTAGAAATTTAAAAACCTGTCAATATTGAGCGTAAGAAAGTAAGGAAACAAGGCTGGAGATACTGTAGACATTATTTATTCAAACTACAAATCCCTATTTTGACTCCACCAAATGTAATTCTAAGTAACAACAGGGAGCCAAAATAGGAGTTTGTAGTTTGAGGAAATAATGTCTATAGTATCTCCACCCTTGTTTCCTTACTTTTTTTATGATTCCTTTTTGCAAGTTTTTAACTGAATTCTCTCTATATAATGTATGACAATGGTCAAATACACGTCCAGAGTAAGACAATCCCCAATAAGCGCGAAAAACTTACCAATAGAAAAGTAGACTTTACAAATAAAACGCATACGTTTAAAACATCGCTTTAAATAAATTTTCGTGTTTTTTAAAGTAATTATTCTACGAATGTGTGTAAAAAATTAATATTATGTGTATTTATTTTTTGAACTCCTTCACTTCATACATAATATATAGATAGGCTCCCTAAAGTATCTACATGTTATAGTCATATAATGTTCATCTGTTATTGGTTAATAATTCCTGTTTCACCCTGTACAGGAACATCAGATATTTGTAAGAAAACTAACTTCAATGGGTAATAATAACATCGTTTACACTAGAATTATGATGTTTTTTAGCTTATGTAAATTTTAGAAGAAAAAAATCGCCTTTTAAAAATTCTTACGCCTTCTTAAGAACTTATTTTAGATTTTTACAGAAAGTT